TGTGTGTGTGTTACCTGGAACTCAGTGAGCTGCTGCATCAGCTCCTCCTGCTCTTTGCTGTTGCTCAGTGGAGGGAGGATGTTAAGAAAAACCTTCAGGAGGTTCAGACTCTCTCCAGACACAGCGGACAGAGTGAAGATGGGCGTGATGCTGCACGCACACACACACACACAGAATGTACTACTTACAGTACTATTGAAGCAGCTCAAGAAGGATTAAAACTTTATCAACCGGTTGACAAGGATTTTATTAAGATATCAATAAAGAAGAACAACTAACGATCACACTCAGTTTCTAGTTTCCAAACACAGATGAGGAGAAGGTATCTGAGCTCTGTCTGCTCAAACCTGACTCAGTCTGAAGACTCGTTCACTGGTTTGTTTCAGACTCGTCAGTTCAGACTGAAGCTGAACTTCAGGTGTGAAAGGTTCCTCAGACCAGAAGAGGAGTTCTGGGTCTGGATCAAACTGAACCAGGTTCTGTTGGTTCACAGTGAAAACACTTTGATGGACCAATCACAGGAAGTAGAGACACATTAAACCATAGAAGAAGAAGAGAACTGGTGTGGAGTACTGGAGTACTGTGGAGTACTGGAGTACTGTGGAGTACTGGAGTACTGGAGTACTGGAGTACTGTGGAGTACTGGAGTACTGTGGAGTACTGGAGTACTGTGCCTGAAGGTGCTGATGCTGCTAGTAATACATCATGATGTAACCATGGCAACCAGATGAAGCTACAGTCATTGTCTCCATTCAAACAGAAAGACTACTACCCCCCCAACTGACAACACGCCCACATCAGACTCCGTCTACAGACCAATCAGAGTCAAGTATAGATAGACTCCGCCCACGTATGTGAGACAGAATTCTTTAGACTCTGAAACGTGAAACTGAAACAGATCAAATGAAACAAACACGAAGCTTCAGACTCTGAGAGGAAACGATCAGAAGCAGCAGTAGTATGAGTAGTTTGTTTTAAAAGTATTTGTAGTATCTGTATTATTAGTAGTTTTTATTTGTACTCACCATGTGGATTGAGTGAACTGCTGCGCGGCGGTCACAGCGTCGTCAGGGTTCGACACCACCATGGGGACCTTGTTGCAGCCCGGCTGCTTCAGGACTCGCTCCAGCTGTCGAACGGTTCGCTCCACGGTGCCACGAGAACACAGATCCACTTTACTGACCACGATAAAGATGGGAACCTTCAGCGCCATGGCCAGGCCCAGGTGCTCCCGCGTGGTTCCAGCTGCATGGAGGAGAGCAGGACCATCACGCAGACTTTATTACCCAGAAGCCACCGAAGCTGGTGATTTTTTATATTATTGATTCTTTTCACAGTTGTCGCTTATTATACGTTTTATTTTTCTTCATTGAATCGAAGGAATCACTGAAGTGTGAATTCAACCAATACATTTCCAAGGAACAAACGTGCGAGCCACAGCAAAAGGACTCATTCAAAGAAAACTGGCACTGAAGCTGCTGCTCCTCCGTGACAAAAAGATGGTTCAGGTATCAGATGATGTCACCTGGACGTCTCCCATTGGACGATAACCCTAACATGTACCAGATCTTGAGGTGGAGCCAGATCATCTGACCAGGTCGGATGGACAGACAGATAAATGGTCAAATCATTCTAATTATTAATTGATGCAAAGAATAATTGTTATTTCTAAATGAATAGTTATATAAATATGTACTGTATAAAGCTTATGTACAAACACTGGGACACAGGATTTCATCGCCCAACGTGACCTGTAAACCACAATGTAAGGTGTGACGTCTAACATGGCTGCTTCCTGTGGGTGGCGTGCGTGGCTGCAGCTCACCAATGCCGGTGTTGGCGCTCACCACCAGCATGGCGAAGTCAGGGCAGTAGCTGGTGAGACCGAAGATGGTGGTCTTCAGGTACTTGTGGTGTCCGGCAAGGTCGATGAAGGTGATCATCTTGGACGAGCTCTCGCAGATCTCCTCAGCTGTCCGAGATTCGCTGTAGTTCACAACCTGCTCAACACACGACAAGATGACGAGGCCTTTAAAATCACAAGAGGAGCTGGGATGTGCTCAGAAAAATGAAATTAGATTTGAATATTTCTTCTGAAGCTGTCAAAAGTTTTAAGCTGGACTCATCATCAGAAATATTCAAAGCAAATTTTACACCAGTAAAAAAGTCGAGATGAAAGACTTCTCTCCACCGCCTACGCTTACGTCTATCAGAATTTAAAATCAGAGTTCGGCTCATGATTCCATCACCTCTCCTTTGCTGTTGAAGCCCAGGATCTCGAAGCTGATGCTGGACGTGCGTCCGGTCTGGATCTCGTGCAGATGCCTGAAGAGGTTTAGCCGTGCTCTGCCTCGCCCGTTGTCCAGCTCGCCCTGCGTCAGGACCCCCAACAGGGTTGACTTTCCTGAGTCTACATTCCCCAGCACTGCCACCCGCAGATCCAGGAACTGTCCCCGTCCATGGCCGCATGTCGGAGGAGAGGGATCGAATGATCAGCATGTGGCTCCACTTTCATCAGACTTGACAGAAACGTGCCTGGAGGACAGAATCTCACCTGCTGGTCATCAGGAACCTTTCGAATGAGGACTTCTGCAATTTTCCGAGTGTTTCTGTCAAAGTCGTAGTCCACCTCCCTCTCTCTGAGCAAAGTGATGTCAGCCCCGACTCTGACGACACGCGAGAAAAAAACCCTAATGTGACAACTAACAACACAAACCTGTGTTTTCAAACTGCTGTGAAGATGAGTGTCGGTCAAACCATATGAAAATGCCTCCAACCATCGACATGTTTGAGTTCACATGACGTCATCAGACAAACGTGTACAAGTTCACCTACTTCTCCGCCATCCTTTTTAAGGTTTTGAGCGAGGCCTTCATGTCGACCTCCGTCAGACCGACCAGCAGGCCGTTGTCTTCCACTCCAATCTGGTAGACGGCCTCGCCACGGCCCTCCTGCAGGCGCCACTTCAGCTGCGTGGCCAGATGCTCGAAGCGATACTGAGTGGGGTTCACCAGCTTCAGCTACGACGGCAGAGAGAGAGATGATGATGCAGCAAATATCCAGAGTCTGTGTGTAACATGTAGTAGAGCTGTGAGAAATGTCTGCTGTGATTCTCAATTCTAAATATCTTGTTTTGGTCGATGAACAAACTAAAAGTCAACGACACAGAGTTTAATCTCATTTGCAACGACTGAAGATCATTTTTAAAGAAACTGAAATCCCTGTTTAAAGCTCCAGTGTGTCAGATTCAGGTGAAAGGATCTAATGGCAGAAATTTAATGATGAATAATCCTCATGTTCAGCTGCAACATGACACTTCACCACTAGATGTCACTAAATTCTACACACTGTACCTTCATTACATTTAGCTAACACATATTAAAGATATATAAATACATATAGTTATACACATAATTACCTTATATTCAATGTTTCCTTCTTCAGCCTGCAGACGCACACACACACACACACACAGGAGAGATGAGCTTCATTAACAACATTGTCATCATTACACTCAGTGTGTTTGTCGGAGTAGTCTCACTCAACACACTGAATATGAATTATTGTCAGAGGAAATATCACAGTTTTACGATTTATACGATTATTGATGCTATAGAAGGAAAAAGACACACGACAAGCAATATATCGCGAATTTATAGTTAATAATAAAGATGATGAACTAAAATATTTATTATTATCATCAACAATATCCAGTTCGTTTTTAAAGCGTAACGTTTGCCTGTTTAAAAGTAAGTTATGTAAGCCATAGGCTATTTATCTTGAGAGTAATCCACTGGTTATACTTGTGCCATATTTTTTTACAGTGCTCATTATGATGCTCATGATATGATGCCTTTATTGTGCTGGTTTAATCTTTCTTACTGATATTTAATGATGAATGTGGACAGACGTGTGTGTATCCTTTTTAGGTGCTGCAGATCAAATGTTGTGATACTATTTTGTGCAAGGACAATTAAGATCTTTAATTCTGATCCTCTGCTTCCTGAACCAGCAGAGCTGCTGCTGTAACAAATCCGCCAAACTGTTCAGAGTTCTTCATGTTTTAAAGTTTGCTGCTGAACATAAACTCCGGTTGTTAATAACTTCTCAGTGTTCTGAACTGATCACAGATCAGCTTCACTCTTCCACTGGAGCTGATGGTGACTCTCAGTCACTTGTTCTCTCAGGAGATGAACCCACTCAGCAGAGAGAGAACAGACTCAGGGAGCGGAGGAGGAAACGTTCAATAATTATACTTCAATATTTACAGTGTGTAGTATTTACACATAACACACTAACTAAATTCACTGTTTGTACCTCAAATACATTTTTCTGTATATGACTTTTTTCAGTTGATACACCCTTTCGTCATGTTACTTCACTATATTTTAATCATATAAATATAGTGAATACATGTGTAAATAGGCTTTGTATTTACTCTTGGCATTTCCATGAACCTTATTCCAGCTGATAGTTTATCATGTTGATATACAACCTTTATATCATCTCTCATCTCTCGGGGATGAATAAAGTATGTCTATCTATCTATCTATCTATCTATAGGTCACGTACAGTATAAATTCAGATGAGCCACAGCATTAATCCTCAGTGGTTGTAAATTAACATGAAAAATGGAAGATGAACTAAAAACAGTTTAGTTTGTGCATCAGTGAAACTCTGAGTTTAATTCACATATGATAATATTCTGTATGTAATGAGTAAATAATAATAATATGTTGTATTAGTAGACATTATAACACATTAGACAGTGATATCACTTGATAAACACTTTATGAGTGTGACGTTCTCTATGTCCTGGTGTTGAGCCTGATGTTTTCATGCTAAAACCACCAGAACCAACCGCTGGTGTTGTTGAAACATGCGCCGATGTATTGACTGGTTGTAATTATTTCAGAAAAGAGGCTGATCTGACCTCTGTGACTTCAGCTTCTTTACCGTTGAGGCATGAATATTTGAAATAGTCGTATTTGTGAGTGCAGTTCGGTGTGACGTCTGTGAACAGCAGATGTGAGCTGTTATTAAGAAGCTAACTCGCAGATCTTACACGTTATAAACATGTGTGTTATTACATGTGTGTTATGACATGTGTGTTATTACATGTGTGTTATGACATGTGTGTTATGACATGTGTGTTATGACATGTGTGTTATTACATGTGTGTTATAATATATGTAGTCTGACGGTAAAGTAAACAGAACTGAGCCTGACTCTGTCTGTCCAGCAGCGGCAGCAGCAGCTAGCTGAGCCGGCTAACTGTGGGCTAACGGAGGGAGCTACCTCCGGGGGCAGGAACGGTGGAGGGTTGTTCCGCTGGTTCTTCTTGCTCCGTCTCCTCCGGCCTCGTTTGCTTCTTCTCGTCCGGGACTTTTTCGACGCTTTCCTTCCGGTGTTCCCGGGGCCGGAGCCCGGTCCGTGTCTGCCGTGTCCGGGAAACACTGCACCACTTTGGGACAAATCCACCATGGCTGGGCTCAGTCACCGGGACTCGAACTCACGGTGACCGAAGTAAGAATAACATGAATTCACTGATGAAGGTCTCCGCTGTGACATCCCCTCCACATGAACACTGATGAAGACGATGAAGATGATGAAGATGCTCTCTCCTCAGCATCATCACCACTGTATAACACCTGCTTCCGCCTGGGACTGTCAAAATAATGCAATTTATGACTTCAAAATAAAAATACAGCAGATGACATAGATCGTCACAGTGAGTTTACAACAGGAAGTCAATGAATCAATCAATCAAACACATTTGCTTTATATAGCTCATATGTTAACAAGCAGCATCATCAAGAGTCAAACTACCAAAGAAACCACACTCAGGGCTCAGTGTGATCTTCACCTTCCTGTTGGCCGACTCTGTGGCGACTCCTAAATCCCATTACGTCTTTCCTTCGACCTGAACCTCAAAGTCCAATCCACCAGAAGAAAAACTCTCTATACCAAAGACATTTGGACGATATGAAAATCTCTCTGGGTCGTCCGGTAGATCGTTCTCCTCGTCATCACAGTAAACTTGTTTTCCATCGTCAGACTGGATGAGACAGGGATTTGCTGTATCAGGATCAAAAGTCACTTTCACTGCAAACTGCTGCACCTTCTTCAGCTTCTTCATCTGTTTACTGAGCGTCTCCTCCAGCTGAGCCACAGCTCTCACCACAGTCCCCTCATGTGATGGTGGACGGACTCAGACCTTTTTCTAGTCCTAGGTGAGTGGAGCAGCTTTCCTTCATATTCTTCTCTCAGAGAAACATCATGTGTCTTGTGATCTACAACAGGGCAGAGCATCCAGATACATGTCTGGTCGTTCTTACAGAACAGCTCCAGAGGTCGGTCGTGCTTCGTACACATCCTGTCTTCCAGGTTCAGGGTCGATCAGATGACGTCTTCTCAGATGTGTAGCCATCAGATGAGGCTCCAGGTGAGTCTCACAGTAGGAGGTCAGACACACCAGGCAGGACTTCAGAGCCTCCAGTTTGGGTCCAGTGCAGACTTCACAGGGAACTTCTCCTGGTCTGGAAAGTAGTTGCTGTGAGCTGCTGCTGGTTTTCTGTTGAGCTTCATGTCTGAACTGAGAAACCATCTCAGAGATTAAAGTGTTGACCGACAACCGAGGTCTGGTGTAGAAAACCTGTGTACATGTGGGACACTGGGATGGGACGTTAATATCCCTGTGTGTAGTGATGCAGGTTTTGCAGAAGTTGTGTCCACATGGTGTACTGACTGGATCAGTGAGGACATCCAGACAGATGTTGCACGGAAACTGATCTTCAGAACTTCCAGCAAACATGTCAACACCCTGAGAGCAACAGTGACAGAGTGACAAATAAAAGTGTGGTTAAAGAAGTCTTCATAATTGACCTCTAAATATCACAGATAGTAGCAGAGCATGTCTACACAACATGTCCACACAACACGTCTACACAACATGACTACACAACATGTCTACACAACATGTCTACACAACATGTCAACTGGATCTGTACATTCTCTTTTTCACATCTGAAACCAACTTGCAACAGAAAAATACATTTCAGATTCAAGATGTTTATTGTCATGTACACAGATGTTTTGATTGTTTTCCATATAGTTACTGTGATATAATAATTTTGTTTTTCAGTTAACTGAAATAAGGTTTTGAAAAGATTCCGTCAGTAATGAAATGAATAAAAATGTTCCTTCTTCAATTGTAATGCTCTGTGAAACAAAATAAATATTATCTTTTGTACCAATATTTTTTTGTAGCTCACAAAGATCTTGGAACTCAGTTGAATGTTTTTTCTTCAGATAGAAACAGAGGTTGTTAAGCTGAATAACTTTTACTTTACGAGTACATCGTGGTATTGAAGATTTCCAGTATTTACATCGTGGTATTGAAGATTTCCAGTATTTCCAGTTCTGCTCCACCTCGTACTGCAGCTCTGTGGCTTCAGGCCTCATCATGTGACATAAATACGATGAGGAAGAGGAATGAAGTCTTTAGGAGGCAGCTGAGCTTCTTTTAGTCTGGGGGGGGAGCTGTGGTAACAAGGTCCCACTGATATATGAGTTTAACCAGTCATGAGACAGTCTCAGTCATCCATCATGTTTTTAATATCATCAAATGAGTACAAACCAAGTGATCAGAAGTTTTACTGCAGCCCGCCACCAGGGGGCGATGGAGATGCTTTGGCCTCACTTTTGAGCTCGAAGGAAACTGTCGCGTTTGGATCTGTGTCGTCATCCATCTTTACAATCTGTGCTGTGACTCGCTGGCGGAAACGTGGCGTCACAGTCTGATGTGTCACGAGTGTTGCTGCTGGAGGTTGAGGGCGGAAGTCACCTCGCAGTGTTATTAGTGAGGCTGCGGACCAACTCCATGTTGACACGATGACTCCGCTGCTGTGAGGGGACGCAGAGCTCGGAGAGTCCGTGTGAAGGAGCTCAGACACCGGCCCGCTGACCTCACCGGCCCGCTATATTACCGTCTCCGTTAGCCTGCGGATGCTAACCCCAGTCAGCCTGAAGCTGCCGTCGTTAGCTTCCACAACAACAGGAAGTCCCGCGGATTGTTCAGTTTTGTCGTCCCGCCAGCACAGTGAGGGATGTGGAGAGTAACTCTGCCGGCGCTCGGTGTTCTGCTGCTGGCCTGGTTCTACGGGAACTTAGTTCTGTGTTGGTTCCAACACAATAACGTAAACACCCGAACACAGCACAACGAGCATCACAGCGGAGCCGCCGACAGTCCGGAGCAGAGCTGCTTCTGCCATGTGAGTAAACCCGGGGCCACAGATCACCGGCTTTCATCTGGGATTGAGAAAGTTCACCGGTGTCTTCGCACCACACTAATGGACGCCACCGTGTGTGTGATGCTAGCGAGCTGCAACTATGTGCGTGTGATGCTAGCTAGCTGCAACTATGTGCGTGTGATGCTAGC